ACATTTATACGAACTTTTTACTTATTTTATCTGCAAAATATGCTGGCGAAGTTTCCGGAATACAGTTCGGATCAGCCTGTATATCAGTGTATGTATTTCAAAATAGCACTAAAAATATTTGACAATCGATAATTAAGTAAAATATCGATAAGATGTCGATTTATTCTTACATTTCTAACCAATACTCCGTTTGTGTATGTGATTTGCCACGAGGCGATTTCGTCTATTTTTTTAAAGATGTAATTAGAATCATACTGGTTTTACATCTGGACATCAACATGTTTCAAAACACAGATGTTAGATAGAAATAAAACAACACTTTAAATAAATATTTTAGGTACATTTACTGTTTTTAACACTATGCATCTTAGGAATTTACTTTTAAAATGGGATTTATAGTCTATTGACTACGTAGTTTGGTGAATAAAATTTTAGCTGAAATTGAAAGTTCTTTACGACTTATTTTTTACGACTTTTAGAGTATTATTGGATATTATAACCTGGATTTGTTATATTTTTACTATAAGAGAGAAGCAATTATATTAAATTTAATAAAAGTAAAAAAAAGTTTATTTTACAAAAGGTGTAGACGCAACTGAAATTTTCCATATTTAGTAGTTTCATTTAATCGTCAATGGAGGGTATGAATATTGTAAATAGTATATTAAGATTACAAATATGAAATTACGTCACTTCTGAGATGTATGTTATGACTTTTATACACTTGTTTTTTTAACCTTGCCCATATTTTCTCAGTATTTTCTTGAAATGGGTGCGCTAGTAGATTCATCATTTTTGCATATGACGTTTTCAATATTGTAGTAAAGATATAGGTACATACATCTATTGACGTACATAACATTTTAATTAGTTTTTTATCTGATTTTGAGAAACTCATTTTAATTCTATTTTTACGGTTGACAGAAGCATCTATTGCGTCAAAAAGATAAAAGTGTATAAGGGGATTATTAATCTACTGGTGCATTACAATCAATAATTAAATATATGATATGCAGGACTCATTACTGGAAAATGTGTATATTTTTATTTGGCTACTGGAGTAGAGAACTTCTTTTCTGTAAAATACTATAGGGTTTGTAGAGTCCGGTGAACTATCTAGATACGAATTTTGCATTTTTCTGATTATGCACTGAATTTCAAAATATTTTAATTTAATTTTGGTACTATTTAACACATATCTTATCAGACGTTACGGAGAATTTTAACACATGATTTGACATGATACAGACAGAAGAGAATGCAATGTTGCCATTTCCACTACATTTTCTGTGATGCGCATTAATTAAACACAGAAAACGAAAAAAAAAAACAAACAAAAGAGTGGAATCAAAGCAATGAAAACATTCTTACAGCGTATTTTGAGTAGTAGTGAAATAATGGAAATAAATATAACGTGTATATTTTTGAGAAGCTCATAGGCAAGCCAGATCATATGATTTATAAATATAGAGGGTGTTCCATTTGAGAAAACATAACTTTAGTTCATATCTTCAAAAATATTTTTTTCTTAGAAAATCAGACTACGCCACTGTATTTCACGTAAGAAGTTCTACAAGAAACAATTTTCGCCTTCTCGATATCTTTCACAATAACAGAAATACGGGGGGGTGTCCCAAATTGCAACGTTTTCAAAAAGACCCTGTAGCTCAGAAACGAACAGGGCTATGAAAATTCTGTTTACAGCTTCTGTTAAAAAACGGAACATTTGATAAAAACGTGGGACAGGTTTGTGCAAACCGTATCCTCCTATTTTCACTAATAACGGGGGTGTAATAAATGATGTGTCGTATATTAGAGAGACTAATAAACGTCATCTCAAAATGTGCAACTTAACGAGCAAAAAAAAACTTGTACAAAGAGGTGAAACAATGAAGTTAGGTATTGTGGACCATGTTTGGTCAAAACAGCGCAATATAAAGTGGTCGGAAGCTCAGGTTATCCACAGGGAACCTAATTGGAAAAAGCGTAAATTTACAGAAGCCGTTTTTATAGCAAGCAATAATAACATTTTAAGTAACCCTAGTACCGAAATACCCACCATATGGCAACCACTGATAAAACGCTCCAATGCATTCTAAGTGCACAACCTTACGGTGACTGCACCCAACTTTTTTACGGGTATTTTTTATCACGGTATGTATTATTTTTCACGCCTGATCGCAATATAGAAGCTCAGTAGTTTTAGAAATTAAATTAGATTACACTTGATAACGGTCAGTGATCGTTCTGACCGAAACGTTGTGTTAATCAAAACAAATAAAGACAATGGAAGTCTGAAATTCTTTTATTTTCAAATTTGGGACATTCTTGTTATCAGGAAGTGGTTATTCCCTTTCCATTTTATATACTTTTACATTTTAAGGAGGGTAAAAAATTAATGACGGACAACATATCCCTCCATCAGTATGATGTAATATCTATATAGATGTCATTGGTAATATCAGAGATTAAGAAATTATATCGTGGGAATATATTTGTTGTAAACAGGCAGTTCTAAAAAGCTTTCTAAAATATACAGGAACATTTTAAAGAAAATGCACGATTTTCGATATCTTTTTTTGCGAAAAAGCCTCAGACGTGTTCGTGGGGCCGAAATATACTACCCCTAAAAATTATTATAGCACTTATCAATTTTTTATTTAGTAAAGTATACAGGGTTGTTCACCACATACGACACAGAGTATTGTAGCTAAACGATTATATTTTTACAAATTGTAAGTTTTGGGTTCGAAGAAGGACTATTAGAGGTACAATTTAAAAATAATTTTACAAGATAGAGTGTCCCAAATAAGTAAAAAATATCAAATTTGTATTTTTTTAAACGGAACACCCTGTATATTATTACATTTTTAGTTTCTACGATTAAATTAAAGGTAAATTTGATTAAGGTTTATTATACTTAAACCTTACCGTTTTTGAAATATTTTCAATTTTGTGAAATTGCAGTAAAAATTTTAAGGCTTCATTTCTCCAAGGGTATCAAAGTTTTTAATACTAAATATTTACTGAAGTTTATTTATTGATCAGTTATTCTGTTACAATAATAAGAATACTACCTTATACAGAGTGTCTAAAAATTTATTTTAATTAATTTCTAGCTTTAAACGCCAATAACTTCTTTAATTTAAATGGAACGCCCTGTATATTTTAGGAGAATCAGATGCACAATTTAATTGTCTATCAAATTGTATTATATCATTTTTTACCTATCTCTTCAAGTTTTCGTAGAAAATGCATTTTCTTATTATTTAGACCTCATTTATCAATATACCCATGGAATATTGACATTTTAGATTGTTTTTAAAGCAACAAATGTACAAAATCCACAGGCTAGTAATATTATCGATTTTAACAAAACGATAATATTACTAGCACATTTGTATGCAAAAAGAAAACTATTTAAATCTTTATAAAAGTGTATACCATTAATTAAATATAACACAATTATTTCAGCCCATATAATAATTAATTTCATACTTAATTGTGTTCGTTAATAAATTATTCTAAATAAATGTGGATTTGAGTCAGAAATCAATATAATAATAAGTTATCAAAATGAACGTCTCTGTTGTTATAAATAAGCATTTATTAAAAAATGAAATATCATTTTTAAGGTGTTACTTTTTACCACACGGTCTAATACACATACAAAACTCGTTTTGTATGTGTATTTGCAAACATTTTTTAGTATTTGGGGCAATTATTATTAATCAACGCAAACAGTCAGTTAATGTAGTTTGAATACTGGAATCATATTAATTGGTCCTCTTTAACAAATATTTAAACAGTTTTTTTTTATTTTTTAATGAAATAAACGAATTATATCGACAATATTAGTATCTGTACTCTTTAAAAATTTGGTACATCTTTAAGAATAATCTAAAATGTCAATATTCCATGGGTATATTGATAAATAAGTTCTAAATTACAAGACATTTTCTACGGAAATTACATTTTCTACGGAAACTTAAAGAGATAGGCAAAAAATGGTATAATACAATTTGATAGACAATTAAATTGTGCATCTGATTCTCATAAAATATACAGGGTGTTCCATTTAAATTAAACAAGTTATTGCCGTTTTAAGCTAATAAATATTTAAAATAAATTTTTAGACATTCTGTATAAGGTACTATTATTTTTATTATTGCAACACAATAACTGATCAATAAATAAACTTCAGTAAATATTTAGTATTAAAAACTTTGATACCCTTGGAGAAATGAAGCCTTAAAATTTTTGCTGCAATTTCACAAAATTGAAAATATTTCAAAAACGGTAAGGTTTAACTGTAATAAACCATAATGAAATTTACCTTTGTTTTAATCGTAGAAACTAAAAATGTAATAATATACAGGGTGTTCTATTTAAAAAAAAATACAACTTTGATATTTTTTACTTATTTGGGACACTCTCTATCTTGTAAAATTATTTTTAAATTGTACCTCTAATAGTCCTTCATCGAACCCAAAACTTACAATTTGTAAAAATCTCATTGTTTAGCTACAATACTCCGTGTAGTATGTGGTGAACAACCCTGTATAAAGACTCAATCTGTATAATATATATTGGTTGAATTTAAATATTTTAATAGGTTAGAAAATTCCGTAGATTTTAAATTTATAGAATGCTCATGTCTCCGTTTGTCGGATAATACGAATCGCTTGTGATGATTGGTCGAGAATAATTGACAATGATAATCTAAAGTAAGTAAGTTTTTGTTATGAAAGTAAAATAAAAAAAACGCGGAAACATTATAGACCAATCAGAATGCAGTCAGATGATCGTATCAATGGATGACGGATGCAGAAAAATTCGCTTCAACTCTTTCTCACAGACACGTTTATTTAGGCGTTGACGTTCTGATTAACTGTCATATGTTATTACGAGTATTTAAAAAAATTAAATTGGTCCAATCATATTTTTTTTAAATACTAATTTTTTCTATATTAATTATTCTACGTAATCACTTCTTACAGATGAAATAAGACAAGACATCGAAGATGCAGTCAGTCGTCTTTGCCCTTGGTAAGTGTAGTTTTTTATTTACCAGTATGTCCTCGGATTGTCTTTACAAGAGGAAAAACTTTTTTATTATTGACATTTTGAGAAAAATGTATTCTTAATCAAATATTTTGCTTGTTCTAAAATGGTTAATTCCGTTTAAACTTTTGAAAACTTTCAGTTTTAGAGAATTTTTTTAGAAAAAAAGCATGAATATATGTTAAATTTTTTTCTGTTAATGTTTCGATGGTAATATAATTTCGATTTCATTCTTTGATGATTTTTAGAACTTCAAAATTCAAGAAATTCAACTATATTTTCATGTTTTTTTTTTTAATTTTCTCTAAAATGGTATGGAAATTTGGAAAAGTATAAACGGGATTAACAATTTTATACAAGCAAAAATTTTTATGAAGAACGCATTTTCTCAACATGTCAATAATATAAAAGTTTTTCCTCTTGTAAAGACAATCCGGGGAAATTGTAGAAACTATGTTTACGTTATACTGTAGAGCTCTACTAATTGTTTCAAATTGTATACTTAGTACCTCTATTAGTCTACCAAAGTATTAATAATTTTAACCTTTTAAATATGAAATGCAGGAAAGCAGAAGATGAAAGCACATACTGGGGCGGATGGGCTCGCATGGCACAGCCCATTGAACATTTTGCTGTAGTTGAAGTGGCCAAACCAAATATAGGTGAAAAAAGACCTAGCAGAGTCAGAGCTGATGTTACCGTGAATTTAGCTGTCAAATATGACGTTAAAGTCGAGTGGGAGAACCTGAGGAAACACGATGTTTGTTTCCTTATTACCGTTAAACCACCTAATCCAATAGGTAAGAGATTTATATCAACTTGACCAAATGATATTTGAAGGTACTAAGGGGTGGCAAAGGTTAGTTTTGGGTTGAGATTTCCGTATGTAAGAAAAGTACAATGCGTTTATAATGTACTGAACAAAGAGAGAATAGTAAAAACGTTGCCAAACGTATGAAATAAACGTGAATAAACCGAGAAACTGTGCACGTTGCTAAGGGAAGTAGAAGGAGATATAGCAAATTCGTCGCGATCGACCATCGACCGACGACCCAATCAGTACTTAAAATTCTAGAGGTGGTGTAAATCATGCCTTCAGCCTCACGATTTAGTTACGTCTCGTGATACTTTATTTCTTTATTTATTAACGAGTTGTTGTAATTTTCCCTATAATCCCTATAGCTTGTATTTTTTTTAAGTTCAAGTTAACACTTGCACTTTTGGTAAAAATAAATGGAATTGAATTGGTGTTCGACAGTGGTCGCGCTATTAGAACTCTGAATTCAAAAATCGATATCTCGAAATCCATTAGAAATAATTGATTGTAGTTTTTTTTAAACATTCTTAATATTTCTGCTATATTTTCTTCGTAGACAGTATGTGAAAATCTTTATAAATAAAAAAGTTACACGATTGCTGAAAATTGCAATGCACTAAAAGTAAATGGATGGGTTTTTGGAAAAACAAACCTATCGAATTTTTCGTATGTAACATCTTGTAAAATATCCAAACTTGAAAATAAAAAAAATAAGTTTCAATATCTAATGTGGTTCTTGAGTTATCGCGTGTTATGTGTTAAAAAGCTGAGTTTTAAAATGATCGCGATGCCTTATTATTCATTATGAACTTTTAAATTATCCACTGACGTTTTCTCGTTATAAAAAAATAGACACCCTAACGATATCTTAACGATATCCTTATAATTCCACTTCAGATGCTCAGAAATATATCTAATGATTTTATCTAATTATCTTTTCAAAAAAAACTCTTAAAAAAAGCGGTTTGCGATCGTGATTTTACTTTACTTGATAGGGAAAGGCGTACCGGAGAAATGTGGCAACGCCGCAACAGCACGTCACATTTCTCTCACTCCGACTTAATAAGATCCCTATGCGATTTACTTCCACGCATGTAAATACCGACCCAAAAGTAAGAGTTGCCAGTACGGTATTCTAAATTAACTTAGTTCTTCTGTAGGTACAAAATATGACTATAAAGAACCCTTTATTCCTCAAGTGGGTCTTCAAGCTATTAGAGGTTGTGAAATCGAAGGTATGCTAGACAGTAATGGGAGAGTTATTGAAGATGGTCCCGATCCAAAACCAGTATTACCAGGTAAGTAATTACATTGTGAAGTTAAAACAAACAATTCTTTTACTTGAAACTGATATGGCGGTTTTATCATTATTTATTATTGTATTTAGGCGACAGAAGAACTTACAGAGTTTGGTTAGATTGCAACCAATATAGGGACGATATGAGCGAAGCGAACAAAGGCAAAGAAGATGTTTATGAAGGCTTCAACATTATAATGAGACGAAAACCTAAAGAAAACAACTTTAAAGCCGTACTAGAGACCATAAGGGAGCTAATGAACACCGAATGTGTAGTCCCAGAATGGTTGCACGACATTATTTTGGGATATGGCGATCCTAGTGCTGCTCACTATGAGAAAATGCCCAATCAGATCTCGACACTCGACTATAACGACACTTTTATTGATTCTGATCATCTGAGATCCTGTTTTCCTGATTATCAAATCAAATTTAAAACAGACGATCCTAAGAAACTGGTGAGACCGTTTAAGTTGACCTTTGAAGACTTGGGCCAAGAGGAAGACGCAGAAAAAAAGAAAGTTATTATTGTGGAGCCTCACGTTATTCCTAGAAGAGGACCTTTTCATTTTAATGAACCAAAAAAGTAAGCATAAGTTTCTTATATTTTTAGGTTAAAATGAATCATTTTTAATGTGCTTCTAACATATATATAGTCTAAAAATTGTTGAATATTAAATCAATAGATTGCAATTGAGGGTTGGAACCTTTGGTGTTTGAACATTTTTTGAACAACAGCAAAATTAAACAGGAATTTACCACAATACACCAAATACTTTACTATTGCACTCGACGTGCGTTTCGCTAACCATATTAGCATCATCAGCAGATGATTAAAAACTCAGTTTAAACCTATCAGTTTTTAATTATCTGCTGATAATGCTAACATGGTCAGCGAAACGCGCATCCAGTGCAAAAGTAATGTGTTTTGGTGTATTAGTGATTGATTTTGCTTTTTTTGTTGAATCAATAGATTATTAAGGAAATATTTTCTTTAGTTGTTTCTTAAGCCTGAAAAATCTTCTGAAATAATGCTTTCTTCCTTTTTTGCTAGATTGCTTATGTTTTATGTATGTATAGTCTGCCCAACGACAAAAATCTTCACTGTCATTTTAATTTCAAAGTTGTTTATTTTATTCGACAGAAGAAATAAGTTAGTACAACTTGAACGCATAGCAGGAAATAAATATATTTAAAATTTGAGTGACAGGTGATTACTTCACACAAAATATTGTGAAAAAAAACACAACACCACATACCAAAAAAAATATATAAAAAAAAAGATTTCTTACTTTCAAGCTTCAAGAAACTTCCTGCATTTATTATTATATTTATCAATATAACTTATGTACAAATACAATTTTTTTAATATTGCACAGGAATAATAAAACACCACATAAATAAATCAAAATATTTTATTAATAATAACACTTACTGAATTTTATATCTTAAAAGAAGATTAACTAACTTTAATCTTAATTTTGTTTTGCAGTACTAAAATCTATTATTTATCTATCGTGTGATGTCGTTATTTTACAGGTACTCCTGTTTTTAGTACCATATTCGAGATGGTATACAAACTTTACTGATGGTAACTTTATTGGTGCATAAAACTCTCTGTCTAGGACCGAATATTAACTATAAACTGAGATCAGGGTCTACAGTACATTTTCTCTCGATTTTTGCTCCACCTAACTTCAAAAGACACAAAACACATAATAACACGAACCAAAATGCAAAAACAATTCGCAAATGTTTATAATCTTCTAAAACGCAGGGTATTTAACAGAATTTGACACAAATTTATAACCTATAATTTAGCAAGACTTTGACGAGCCTCAAAAATCTTAAATCGAGTTCATACGCTTCTGCGTCCATACATCGTTCATCGTTGCGTCACTCCAATAATATTGAAATATGTTCTGTATTTTTTTAAATAAACCAATAAAACTGGTTAAAAACAAGAGACGACGTACGACGGATTTATATATAAACCTGTCCATAGTTAACTTAAAAAATATTAGAAACTTTTTCTAGTGAAATAATAAGATTAGTATGGATGTCATCTGTTTTTTTTGTCATCCTGTCGAAATCTTACCTGAGAAAAAAAAACAGAGTATAGTCTGTGTTACTAATTGGGGAAGATTTCGACAGAGATTTTGACATTCAAAAAATGACAGAAACAATTGTCACTGTCAGGAATCCTGTCGCTGGACAGACTATATATTACAAAATACAGTAATAATACCTTAAGTTTGAAAAGTCTGTCAATGGACTGCTGCCTAAAAGTCTGTTATCCTTATAGGTTAACGATACAAGGCGGTAGTGTCATAGATGACGCTGTGGCTTCTTTAGATGCGGTTACTCTACTCAGCGTTCTTAAATCTTTTTTTTTATAAACTGCTGAAAATGAATATTTTTATAATAACGAACTTTAGTAATATTTGTTATGTTAATTTTTCGTTCTGCTGCTTTCCAGAAATATTATTCCATTCACTCCCACTCAAGTTGAGGCGATTAAATCAGGTATGCAACCGGGTTTAACACTGGTTGTCGGTCCTCCAGGAACTGGGAAAACTGATGTTGCTGTCCAGATCATCTCGAATCTATACCACAACTTCCCTCATCAACGAACTCTGATTGTCACTCATTCCAATCAAGCTCTAAATCAACTTTTCGACAAAATCGTGGCATTGGACATCGACGAAAGACACTTACTTCGTTTGGGTCATGGTGAAGAAGCTTTGGAGACTGAAAAGGTGAATATTTTAACCTGACCTTAAACAAAATGCAAACTAAAACAATAATGCAAACTAAGTCAATAAATAAAATATCGCACGTCATTTTTTCATTCAATCGCACTGTATATTTTTATAAATATTTCCAAGAAAACATAATGGTATGCTTATTTACATACCGTTTTACAAACTTTAGAATTTGATTTTATAATAGCCATAAATCTAAAACGTTAAATGATATTTTATAAACACTTTCCTTAAAATATCCTATTATTTTTTAGTTTACTCAGGTTTTGCAAAGTAGAAAAAATAATTAAAATTCGAAGTAGAAAAAATAATTAAAATTCTAGGAATGAAAATAAATTTTGGAGTTATTTTAGATTTTACGTATGTATTATTGTATTAATATATTACTGGATAAATACAATGCCAGAAATATTACAGTACTAATATATTTACTCGCCAATCGCCAAGTATTAAAAAATAGCTTATGGCGGGAGCAAATCTGGACAAGCTAGAATAAATTCTATTTTGTTTAGTTTAGTGTAAGTAACCACGTGTTAAATTTGCACCACCCCCAAAGCCCGGATTTGGCCGCCATCTTGGAAAAAGCGGCTAAAATTCGGTATATTTTTCATTATTTGTGAATAACTCGATTTCTATCAACTTTAGTACAAAAAATGTACAGACCAAAATTAAAGAAGAGGAAAAAGTCTATAAAAAACGTTCTATGTGCTTTTTCCGTGCGACGACCCGTTTCCAAGTTATCTCGGTTTAAACACGCTAAATATATTATAAGCAGTTATTATTTCCTCTATTCTAGGCAGTTTGTCTTTCCCAGAACCTTACTCTTTTTATTTCTCCATGCATTTAGTGGCTGCGACACCACATCCGCATTATACAGACAAGAAAAAATTAAATTCGTTAAAGTTTTACAGAAAGAAAAATAATTATTACAGACAGCTGCACAAACTTTCACACACGCAAACGCATCCCCAGAAGATGGAGAACGATTTCTTCTTCATCTATATGGATCCAAAAAATGCGACTCATTTGATAAGTACAGATACCAGTGTTTCGTAAAATCTATTACCACCTAACCAAACCAAACCAAACCAAATCCGGGCTTTACGGGGAGTGCAAATTTAATACGTGCTTCTCGACACCAAAATAAACAAAATAAAACTTATTCCAGCTTATCCGGATTTGCTCCCGCCATCGATGCACTTGCCGACTGGCCTAACTGTGGATATTGTGTATTATAAATTGATATAAAGTATCCTACTAAAGCTTCATTCAGAACCTCGCAATTAGTGATTTCAATTACACTTTATACTTTTTAGTTTACGATCATTCGTAATGTTTAAAAAACACGATTAAAATTAATAGAATATAATAGCAACAGCTTGCGGTAATCATTTGTATGCATAGAGAAAGCCAAATATTTAGCCTATAAAACAATAAGCTTTTGAATTCTAACCACAATTTCTCTTAACGGATGATAATCAAAGGTCAAAATTACATTCTCCGCAAATTTTGTAGTATAATTAGTGGAATTTTTGAAGTATAAGTAAAAAGTATAATTAGTACTAATTGAAAATGACTACCACTAATTTAGACGTTTTGAATGCTTACATTCAAATTAAAGGGACAAACTTCCACGCTAATTGAAACCACTAATTTATGCCACTAATTGGGAGGTTCTGAATGAAGCTTAAAGTTTGAATTACTTTAATTTAATTTGAAGTTTTACGTTTCTGCAGTACATAATCTTGGCAAAGAACATCAGTAATATTATATGAAAATTTGGCGTCTGTTTGTCTTTATTAAATATGGATATACACTAATCAGGGTGTTTGAAAAAACATATGCCATATCTCGTGAGGATAGTCCTCACATAAAAATAAGATTTATTTTTCATATCAACATAAGTCCGATTCCGCTTTGTTTTGTATCTACTGGAGGTTAGTCTTCATTTTTTTCGATTGCACATGAATGATATTTGGAGAGTAAAAGTTTCTATGAATGCTACATATTTTTTAATGTTAAAAAAATGTCAACAGATACACCAGGGACGTGCATATGGGTTATCACTGGAACTTTTTTCTAAAAAAACTTGTGCGCCAAGGATTTTTTTCTTATTAGCCAAATTGTGTAGGCCATTTAATGCCGATTAAAAGTTGTTACTTGATATTTTGTCCATTTCGATCTCCTCGATGAGATAAGCGGTATTTTATTAATCACAATAATTATTGTGATTATTAATAAAATTAAAATGAAAATACTAAATTATTTATTTAATGTAATTTATTAGTAAATTTTATTAAAATTTATAACACTGATGTACAGTGCTCCTCCTCCTCCTCCTAGATGCCGTCTCCGTTGAGGTTGGCGACCACTATGGCAAAATCTTCCCTATGTTGGGCTCGATGTATTAAAGTATTCCCGTTTGAAATATTTGTCCAATCTCGTATCTTTCGAAGCCACGATTTCTTCTTCCTCCCTATGCCGCGCTTTCCCTCGATTTTACCTTGAAGTATTAGCTGAAGCTGTTCGTATTCTTCGTATCTCATTATATGCCCGAGCTAAGCGGTTTTCCTTATTTTTGTTGTGTTGGCTAAGTGGGTACGGGTTTTCATTCTGGTCAGTATATCCACATATAAAGCCACATTTCGAATGCCTCCACCTTCCTGATGTCCTCCTGTTTTAGGGTCCAAGTTCCGCACCCGTGTTGGCAACAAAGGCCAAACGTAGCACTTGAGTATTCTCAACCTTACCCCTATGGACAAACGCGGGTTGCAGAGTACGTTTCGCATCTTAACGAATCCTGCACGAGCGATTTCTATTCTCCTTTTAATCTCTATAGAGTGGTCGAGCTGACTGTTTATTTCCCGACCCAGGTGACAGTACTTTTGTACATTATGTAAAGTGGTGTTATTAACAACAATGTCCAATTGGTGATCTTGAGAGGTCAGAGAAAACACCATAGTTTTGGTCTTAGATGCGTTTATCTCCAAACCCATTCTGGTACTGTGCTCTGTTAGGATGTTCATCAGAGTCTGTAGCTGTTCTTTAGACTATCCGATCACTACGGTGTCATCTGCGTAACGGAGGTTGTTAATTAAATAATGTACAGTGCTACCTACAAATTCCCCAAAAATAATGGTATTTAAGTCCTGCTATGAAAAGTTTTAACATCCCCTAACTTTAAAACTATGCATTTCCACACCCATATTTATAGGAACTTTTTTCATATATTTTAATGAGGAATCAATGGGTACTAATTTAACACTTTGGCAAGTTAATGACGTTAATTTTTTTAAAGTTTGCTATTAGAATTGGATTAAGGCAAATTAATTAAATTGCGTTTATCTTATCAAGGAGACAAAATATCAAGAAACTTTTAACCAGCCATTTAACGATCTACCCAATTACTACACAAAGAGGAAAAAAGTCAGTGGCGCACATATTTTTTTAGAATATGATAACTCTTAAGCACTTCCCTCGTGAATATGTAGACACTTTTTTAGCACTAAAAAATGTCGCATTTTTAGTAACTTTTACCCTCAAAATTTTATTCAAATCGCTAAAAGCGCTTAAATTGTAATAAATCGAAAAATGATAAAGATTTTAACCTATTGTGGCTACGAAACAAAGAGAGATGGCACATGTTTTTTGATACACCCTGTAAACTTAGCATTACTTAAAACACGTTAAGTACTTAAAAGATAGTTTTGTTATAAAAATTTGTAAATACTTTTTACAGGATTTTAGTAGATATGGTAGAGTGAACTACGTCCTGGCCAAACGTATAGATCTGCTCAATGAAGTACAAAAACTTCAAGAATCGCTCAAAGTCGAAGGCGATCAAGCTTACACCTGCGAGACAGCGGGATATTTCTACTTGTATCAAATTTTATCAAGATGGGAACATTTTCTAAGCGTGGTGAAGCCAAAATCCGGAAAACCCGTAGCTATAGAAACGATATCTCAGGAATTTCCTTTTCACACATTTTTTGATAACGCTCCGCAACCATTATTTAAGGGAGAGTACTTTGAAGCAGACTTAGAAGTAGCGGAAAGTTGCTTTAGATACATTGAGCATATTTTCAAGGAACTTGAAGAATTTAGAGCTTTTGAGCTCTTAAGGTCCGGCTTAGATAGGTCTAAGTACCTTCTTGTTAAAGAAGCTAAAATTATTGCAATGACGTGTACACACGCTGCTTTGAAGAGGAAGGAATTGGTTGAAATAGGTAGGTTTAATATATACAGGGTGGCGCACCTCATTCGCCTCGGTTGATAATACGAAAACGGAAAGATGTAGAAACAAAATATTTTATGGGTATATATGGGAAGGCAATGTGCACAATTTAAAATTATTTTGCAATGTACAGGGTGTTTCAGAACTAAGATCTATACCAAAGTTATATTTTTTCTTATGGAACACCCGATATTTTATTTCATTTTTGGATTCCTGAGCCCAAAAAAAGGTATTTATTATAAGGGTTAAATGTGTTTAAAATCTTTGGTTTTTGAGATATTTAAAGATATTTAAAAATGCATGCTACAATAGAATAGATTATTAACACCCTGTACATTGCTTTTTAGAATTAATTCTTGTGCTGACTTTTAAGCCAGAGAAATAAACTTTACTGAAAAATTTAATTGTTTCGTTTAATGTATACAGGGGTATCAAAAATTGCTGGTCTATTTTAAATATTTATTTTACATAAAAACTTCGTTATTTCAAATACAACACCCTGTATTTTTTTAAAATAAATCAAAGCAGATTTAAATGCTCTTTCAAACTATAGTAGGGTTTCCTATACCTATCTAGCTCAGATTTTGAATAAAAAGCGATTTTTCAATAAAATGGCAATCAAGAGGGCTGGTGTCGCCATGGCAATTTTCTAGTGTCAGTAACTATTTTCAAAATCGACATTAATTTATGGACATTATTATTTAGATTTATAACAGTTTACTTAAATTTAGTTACAATAATTTAATAAGTAAGTATTCATTATTTTGTTAAGAAAATTAAAGCAGTATCTGCAGGCAGAACGAATGGATATGTTACTAGTGATTTGATCTTGTGAGGAAACTTGCTTCTTGGCCTCATGGGCTTATGCTCAAAGATATTCAAATATACTCTGTTTTTTTTCTCAGGTAAGATTTCGACAGACGATGACAGAAGAAAAGCAGATGACGTCCCATACCAATCTATTTATTTTACTAAAAAAAGTTTCTAATAATTTTTAAGTTATCTATGGATGGGTTTAAATATAAATCCGTCATACGTCGTGTCTTGTTGTTTTTAACCAGTTTTACTGATTTATTTAAAAAATGACAGATCGTATTTCAATTTTATTGGTTTGACGGAACGATGAACGACAAACGGACGCCGATGCGTATGAGCTCGCCTTTAGATTTTTGTCATTTTTGACGCTTGTCAAAGTCTTGCCAAATTATAGGTTAGAATTTTGTGTCAACTTTTGTTAAATACCCTGCGTTTTGGAAGATGATGCATGTTGATTCGTATTATTACGTGTGTTTTGTGTATTTTGAAGTAAAGTGGAGGAAAAATCGAGTGAAAATTAACTGTAGACCCAGAGCACAGTTTATGGTTTATACTCGCTGCCCAGGCAGAAAGTTTTATACACCAATGAAGTTGCCATCGATAAAGTTTGTATACCATTTCGTCGTAGATAAGTGCATCTCGTATATGGTAGAAGGATCAAACTAAACACATACTAAAAACTGGAGTAGCTATAAAATATCGACATCACACGATAGGTAAATAATGGATTTTAGTACTGCAGAAAAATAATGTCAAAGGTACTGGTTTAAAAAATTAAGATTAAAGTTAATTAATCAACCTTTAAGGTATAAAATTTGGTAGGTGTTATTATTAATAAAATAGTTTGTTTTATTTACCTATGTTGTTTTATTTATTCCCGTGGAATATTACAAATTTGTATTTGTACATAAGTTATATTGATAAATATAATCATAAATGCGGGTAGTTTCATAAAGCTTGAAAGTAAATAATAGTTCTTTTTTATATTTTTTTGGTATGTAGTGTCTTGTTCTTGTTTGTTTTGTATTAACACATACCGTTTTTATTAAATAAAATAACTGGATTACATTTTTTCAGTTTTATACAGTTTTTTCACAATATTTTGAATTAATAAGTAATCACTTGTCATCTTGTCAATCAAATTTTAAATATATCCTGCAATGCGTTCCAGTTGTACCAACTTATTTCTTTGTAAAATAAAATAAACTACTTTGAAATTAAAATGACAGACACATCTATCACTGTCAAGCATCTTCTCGTTGGACAGACTATAGTAATCTTCCTGATAAGGTTACTTTGAATAACTACTTGTTTTATTTCTCGCATAGCTATGGTAGTGTGGTTTATAAAAAGCCTATTAGGCAGAAGCCTGTAGTTGGAAGTGGAAAAAATCAGTTTGCCGTAATTGGCTCGTAATCATCGTAAAATAAATCAGAGAACTACTTCTTCGTTTTTCTCGATAGAATAATAAAAACATATTTAATAAATATCATTTATTAAACTATTGTAGGTAAATTAAATAAAAGGAAACTGCTATAAACAAATTTCGATTTTGAAAATAGCTACTAACTGTCACTAGAAACTTGCCATGACGATATCAGCCATCTTCGTTGCCATTGTATTGAAAAATGGCCCTTTATTCAAAATCTGAGCTAGATAGGTATAGGAGACTCTAATATAGTTTGAAAGAGCATTTCAATCTGCTTCGATTTATTTAAAAAAATACAGGGTGTTGTATTTGAAAAAAAAGTTTTTGTATAAAATAAATATTTAAAATAGACCAGCAATTTTTGATACCCCTGTATACATTAAACAAACCAACCAAATTTTTCAGTAAAGTTTATTTCTCTAGCTTAAAAGTCAGCATAAGAATTAATTCTGAAAAGCAATGTACAGGGTGTTAAGAACCTATTCTATTGTAGCATGCATTTTTAAATATCTTTAAATATCTCAAAAACCAAAAATTTTAAACACATTTAACCCTTATAACAAATACCTTTTTTTGCGCCCAAGAATCCAAAAATGAAATAAAATACCGGGTGTGTTCCATAAGAAAAAATATAACTTTGGTATGGATCTTAGTTTTAAAACACCCGGTACATTTTAAAATAATTTTAATTTGTGCACATTGCCTCCCCACATATACCCATAAAATATTTTGTTTCTACATCTTTCCGTTTTCGTATAATCAACCGAGGCGAATGAGATGCGCCACCCTGTACAGTGTCACATATACCGGGTGCGTCTTAAATGTGGCTCACCCCTATAACTTTTTTATTTTGTGATTTGGTATGTTAATATATGACATAAATTAGGATTGATTGACGTATCCAATTGTTTTCGGTCACTTTCTGTTTCACCGGAAATGACTACTACTTTTGATTTTTAAATGGCATCCTTACTATTTGTTTACTTTATTCGATAGAAAATGGCACTCTGAATAGAATGACATATCATGTCAACTTTTGACATTCTGGCTTACAAAAAAATCGTATTTTAAACTTCAATCTAGAGTGCCATGGCCTTGTTAAAAACAATAATTTTTAATCAAGGAGCCTTGGAAAAATATATTTGATCGTCGTGTAGTCGTGTCTTGTCCTAGCCAGTTAAAAGATGCCCAAACCGTATTTTTAATCATATCTCAATTTTTTGAAATGTAACGAGGGTGGCTCATTGGCATATTTGGAAATAGTATTTTTTTACGAATAATTTGGTACCACACACTTGGTATTTCGTGTCAAAATGTCGTTATATGAACCGCATGTTACAATTTCAAATAAACCATATGCGAAAATATCAAAAGTTGACATGTGATACGTCATTCTATTCAGAGTGTCATTTTCTATCGAATAAAGTAAAAAAAAATACTTAGGGTGCCATTTAAAAATCAAACGTTGTAGTCATTTCCGGTGAAACAGGAAGAGACAGAAAACAACTGAATACGTCAATCAATCCTCATTTATGTCATAACATAGCAAATCTTTTATTTTTCATCTGAAAAAATAAAAAAGTTGTAGAGGTGAGCGAGCCACTATGCTTTATATATGTGATTTTTCATAATTGTTGGTGTTTTGAAAATTTCATAAAACCAAGTTATCCAGTGTTTTAGCATATTTTATTGTTATAAATAATCAACCTTCATACAGTTTTATGTTACCTGTATTTTTTATTGTTCTAATTTTATCGCAGCTTTATAGAAAGAATCAAAATTTAAAATTTCAAATACCTAGTAATACCGCCTTTGACGTCACTTATTGATAGTGCGGTACATTGTCGTCAGAATGCAAGCACATTTTAATAGCGATTAGTGATTCGCTAAGTAGAAAGTACATAATAACTATTGATATATTACTATAGAGAAATTAATAAAACTTGGCGTGTACGTCACCAAAGACGTCAAAACTATTACTAAATTAAATTTTTAGTAAATAAAAATTCATTTAAAACTTGTAAAAATTGATATTGTTGCAGTTTTGCGGTTTATTGAAAATACAAAGATACTTCAGCGTATTTCAGCTGCGCTCAATATCAGCGTTGATTGAAGAAATAATAAGATGCGCGATTTCGTGGCACAAAATATGTCCGAAATATTGCTAGCGTTACTGTTGTATGTCCGAGATTTAGTTTAGCTCTGCGCCGCTGCGCACTGACGTCGTTTACAGCGCAGCGGATAAAGAATACTGTACCGTAGTTATGCTTTCAGTCGACAGAGCGGGTGGTTCCCGGAAACAGTGTTACTAAAACTACGGATTAATCCGTAGATTTACGGATTTTGGGTACAATACGTTAATAATACGAATTTTCTATCATTAAACAATTTAATATAGTATAATATGATTAAACAAAGAACGGTGTCAGAGTTGGCTTGGAAATGAAGATCGCTGTTATTTCATATGTAAAATATTATGGTAAATGTCAATTTACGTCATTTCAAGCCAACTTAACGACATTTTCGATCATCCGAAATATTCAGTACCTATAAAATTATTTTTATTTTTGTTGTCTATGTTTAACGTGAATAAATTTTCAATACATAAACGCGGATTTTTCATTCAAAGATATTTTCGTCAATCGTATTACAGATATTACACATTTTAATATGGCAACATTGTCGCTTTTAGTCCCACACCGTCTTCGATATACCTTCGCTAGCCGAATCAGAGAAAATGAGTGTTTTATGTGTTGGCTGCAAAACGAGTAGAGGCTCCACCGTACAGCACTTGATTAACCTATTAGAATGTTGTTTGTGTAATAATCATATACAAAATAATAATGTAAACATAAAAAAATAATTTTATATGTAGGTAGGTATTGTGCTAAAACTTAAATTGAGAAAATTACTAATTTTATGTGTTTACTTTGACTTTACATGTATCAAAGTCAAAGTAAAAAAAGTAGCCGTGGCAATATTGCGACAGGCATTCGTCAAATATTTTGATGATGTGCACTCAAAAGTTATTGATTTTTTTTATGCATATTTAAAATAAAATATAAATGAAATATTAAATTTTAGGATTTAAATACGATAATATCCTCATGGAAGAATCTGCTCAAATTCTGGAAATCGAAACTTTTATTCCACTTTTATTACAAAATCCTCAAGACGGTTACAATAGACTGAAAAGGTGGATCATGATTGGTGATCATCACCAGTTGCCACCTGTCATAAAGAACATGGCGTTCCAAAAATACTCCAACATGGAACAAAGCTTATTCACAAGACTAGTAAGGTTGGGTGTGCCTACAGTTGACTTGGACGGCCAAGGACGTGCCAGATCAAGGTAATATTTTAAATAAATTCCTATATACAGGGTGTCCCAACATTCCGTGTTTTTGTCAGAATTTTCTGAACGTGATAATTGTGTCTCGTGTGTATTGTGTCTTTTAAAGCTTTTAAAACTTTTATCTAGCGAGTTAGTCTTTTAAAACTTTATCTTTGAGTTACAATCTTTTTTAAAACACACTGCCATAAAAACTGGTTTTAAACAATAAAAAAACATGTTCTGTTTAAAAAAGCTTTTCAGAATTTAAAGTTTATTTTAGCATTTTTAATAAATCTTAGTGTAAATTTTACAAAAATATTTTCCTTATTTCCCTCTATTCAATCTGGCAACAATGCTGTCTATAATGTACGCACGTGTTTGGTGCAACTGTTTTTAATTTGTATCGCATTTACTTGTACCTTGTACATTAGAGACGGCGCGGCGGCGGGGGAAACTGAAAATTTGAATTTAATTTGAACATTTGGGGGTTTGTTGCGCTTTTCAACTTAATTTTTATTTCTTCTTTATTATATATTTATACAAAGCTTATAAATCTGAGACATCAAAAATAGACACTTAGTTGTTAATTTCTTTTAATAGGCTTGGTCCATTTTCCGCCGGTGCTGCTACTATCGAAGAATATCGTAAAAAACTAGCATATACAAATACACGGGTTTAAATAGCGAGTATACGAAAAATTTATTATTTAATTATTCTAAACATATTAGGACGTATAAATTGTGAAAATTCTAAAAATAAAAAGTAAATATTTTGATATCTGCAGAAGGCCTAACTTGTATTATAACCTAACTTGTATCTTGTAATTTATTATTCCAGTTAAAAAAACTTTTTAGACGAGTTCAACTACGGTAGCGAGCATAGTTTTAATCACCGGTTTTGCTACTAGGGCATTATTGGGGCTATTTCGGCTATAGCGAAAGATTTTAAAGGTACATATCGTACATAATTATAATTTTAGAAGATGTTCATAAAACAATTAATCACTAGTTGATTATAAAAAAGTATACCATTAATATTGCAAATTATATTTTATCCTCTCATAGTCTATTCTATTATAGTATATAGTATATCTATTCTATATCTAGTCTATTTAATTTTTTATGTAACGAGCACTTTGTTTACTCACTTCTTTCGTCGAACTGCTTGAATCCATTTGTGCTATTGATCAAATCGGTGTGATAAACTATGAAGCAATAAAATTTTGTTTCGGGAGAGTTGAATATCCGGGAAAGTTGAGTTATTGAATGTTATTGCACCTAACAACGCCTGAATTACACTCTCCATTACGTGTTACCATTTTTTCGGCAGTTTTATTAACATTTGCAATTGACACAACACAACACGACGCGACGCCTAGTTCAAGTTCTATTTCACTTATTTTTTACTACCCAAAACAGCGTTACATCACACAAACCTCGTACCTGAGTGTTTTATAGTCTCAATAACTGCACTAGCAAAAAACTAAAATAGACATGACATAACATTATGACAAAACCACCATTTCAATTTTATTTTAATGCGATCAACATGACGGCGGCGTGAACTATATACTGATAATTTCTGATTTTTGCCGTTGAAGCGCTGCGGTCGGAATTTGTTGAAATCAACTGAAATGCACCAAGCCTATAATAATTTTAATAACCAATAATATTTAACTCAATGTAAAAGAAAACCTAAAAATTTTTGAGTCTAACCTAAGTTATATTCTAACAACCTTAAATTATATTTTAACAAGTTTTAAAAATTGTAGAACGCAGATGACGGATCAAGTCTGCCATATTAAAGTACCTTCGCGGTCTCGCTTATTTTATTGATATACTCATTTCTTAGTCTTTTTTTTTGTCTCCTATAAAAATACACACATATTATTATATTTAAATATGTTTTCAGCATATGCAACCTATATAAATGGAGATACAAGCATTTAGGAAATCTAAAACATGTTGAAACGTGGCCTGAGTACCAAAGAGCGAATGCCGGCTTCGAGTTTGACTTTCAGCTGATCGACGTTCAGGATTTCAATGGCGTGGGCGAATCCGAACCTAACCCTTATTTTTACCAAAATTTGGCAGAAGCGGAGTACTGCGTGGCTGTATTTATGTTTATGAGACTGATCGGGTATCCTGCTAGTAAAATCACTATATTATCTACTTATAATGGACAAAAACATCTGATAAGGGACGTGATAAACGCTCGGTGCGCAAATAACCCTCTGATTGGACGACCCCATAAAGTAAGTTTTCGTTTCCTCTATAGTTTGTTCATTGAAGGAATATATTATTTTGACAGGAGACACCCGAAACTGACAAAGACAACAACCGTCTCTGTCATATATTCTTTTGCTGAACATGCTATGACTGTTTTGGTTATGGAGTTTTTATTATACACATTTATCGTTGTATAAGGGCGGACTCTGACGACTCGTGTACTTGACAAACATTGGTTATTGGCATATACTTGCCATGTTGTGTGAGTGGTTTACGTGCGCCAATTTCTTAATTTTAAGATTTTACAATGTTATAGTAGGTCTAACTGGTACCTACAAAATGTATAAACTCTGCAGGGCAATATGTTATATACAGGGTGGCCCATCGAAAACGTTCCGCAAGGCATAACGGCCAGGGTAATTTTTTTTTCAGAAAATTCAAAAACACTTCAATTTTGTTTGTGAGGGGGACAATTTTTGCCCCAAAAATTATTGCAAAATCCTCAACACTCTAAGCGGGGGTGTCATCCCCCATTTTTTTTCAAACGGGAAGGGGGGTCAAGTGGTACCGCATTGAAAAGGACTTTCTATTCTCTATACTTTCCCGCTTCGTTTTTGAAAATCGGTCGAGCCATTGAGAAAATATGAATGAGTGAAATTTGAAAAGTTTATTTAAACATTTATCAGAGTAAATGATAAGGATAAATTCTTACGACCAATTTACTGTTTTTTCTTATTATTTCTAGATGTTTACGCATTTTTTCACTTGCCACAAGGATGAACGATCGGGTTAGGTAGAGTGTACTTTCTTTTTGAAAGGTGTAGTTAATCGGCACAACTATCGCTACTGGACTGAGGACAACCCCAGGGTTTTTCACGAGGTGCATACACAAAACCCTAAGAAATTGAACGTGTGGGCTGGTATTTTTAGAAATTATATTGGGAGTCCTTTTTTTCTTCCTGGAAGTCTAACAGGTGATATGTACTTGGATTTACTGGAAAATACCATCGACCCAGCCCTAACTGACATCATAGAGAACAATCCTGGATACGTTGAAGCGGAACTAATATTTCAAAAAGACGGTGCACCTCCACATTACTCTCAAAATGTACGTAATTATTTAAACAATAACTTTCCCGTTCGGTAGATAGGACGAAGGGGTGCAATTGAGTGGCCTCCCCGGTCAGCCGACTTGACTCCTTTAAACTTTTTGCTATGGGGACACATAAAAAGTAAAGTGTATAGCACTCCACCCGCCTCATTAGAAGACCTGCGAAGACGAATTATTGATATTTGTTGCGAAGTGACCCCGCAAATTCTTCAATGTTAAGAATGTTCTAAATCGGGTTGAAAATAATTTGTATTACTGTATGGAGGTTGACGGGCAACATTTTCAGCATTTTCTTCATTAATAAGATACGTTTTTTTTAATTAATTCAATTTATGCGTTTTTTGCAAAAAAGTACTCTTCAAATTTCAGTCTTTCATATTTTCAAAATGACTCGACCGATTTTTAAAAACGAAGCGGGGAAATATAGAGAATAGAAAGCCCTTTTCATTGCAACGCCACTTGACCCCCCTTCCCATTCGAAAAAAGTTGGGGGATGACACCCCCGCTTAGAGGGTTGAAGATTCTGCAATCATTTTTGGGGCAAAAGTTGTCCCCCTCACAAACAAAATTGACGTGTTTTTGGATTTTGAAGATAATCACCTGATCACTGGATCTGATAACCACCCATGCGCTTATCATGATTTTCCCCTGGACCCTTCAAATGAAAAAATGTTGTTTACAAAGATAGTATACTTGCCAAGTACGCAAACATTGGCGTACCTGCCAAGTACATGAGTCGTCAGAGTCCGCCTTAAGATAAGGTCTCCCTGCAAGGAAATTGTTTTAATATTTATTTGTATATTATTTCAGGTGACTACTGTTGATAAATATCAAGGACAGCAAAATGACTATATTTTATTGTCTTTGGTAAAAACTAAAGCGGTTGGTCATATAAGAGACGTTAGACGTTTAGTTGTAGCTATGTCTCGTGCTAGACTGGGGTTATATATCTTTGCCAGAGTATCTCTTTTCCAAAACTGTTTTGAATTAACACCAGCATTTGAACAGGTAAAATATCAACAAGATACAATATTTATGAACGAAGAATAAACGGTGTTAGCGATGGCTATGAAATGAAGACTGATGTTATTTTTTATATGTAAAACATAGCTGAATGTAACAAGTTTAGATTGGAAAGTGCCCATAAGAACAATGTAAACACTATTTGGCGCTATTCTTGCAACGGTCGCGACCCAAAGCTTTTGAAAATTTCGGAGCGGTTCGGCTTTTTCCGGAATTATATCGCCAAATATTGTTTATTCAAATTTATTATTTTCTTTTAATTTTATAAATAAAATACAGTGTGTTGCATACAAGAAACTTTATTTTATATAAGGACGTGTATGAAATACGTATGAAACATTGTAAACCGACGTTATACCACGATCTATGATGGTTTTTGCAGTTCACCGTTCACAGCACAGCTTTTTAAGTTTTTAATGCCACTTTTTCACAATTATCACGGGTTTGAGTAAATAAAACTTAAATTAAACTCACAAGATAGCAATAATTACTTTGAAAATGGACGCTTTAAACACTTTTCTGATTTTTTTCAATGAGAGCGGTTTAGATTTTGAAAGATTTTATAATTTTTGGAGATTCTGACTTTGACAAGAGATATGGACAAGTAAAAATTATTTCTGTTTTGCGATTATTCTTAGCAACCGCTCTAGCAGCGCCAGATCGCGTACAACGGTCGCGACCCAAAATTATCTAAATTTATTTCCTTTATCTATGATGTAAAATTATATGGGGAATGTCATCGATCTTCATTTTCAAGCCAACTGTACGCCTTTTTTTCTATCATATGGTATTTATTTACAGCAAAATGCATTATTTTTTAGTTATTGAAACGAACGACTAAGCTACACCTTATTTTGAATGAGCTTTATCCCACCCAGCGATACAATAATCAGAAACCCAACGCGCAACGTATGGTAGTCGAAGATATGACACATATGGCTAATTTTGTGTACCAGTATTACATTGAAAGAGTAAAAGCTTTAAAAGTGCATTATGAAGTAAAGTTTATAAATATATACTTTAAGGGTTTATTAGTCAATTAAAATTCTTTTTTTAGCAAACACAAAAACAGTGGGACAAACCAGGTGACATTGAGGCAAAATCACATGAGGGTCTAATAGCTTCTCATCCTGGTGAAGACAGAGATACAGATAGTGAGGATGAAAGTGAGAATGGGCAAATGCCTGTTCCAATACAAGATGAACCTGTGGAAGAAGAGGCACAGGTTCAACAGGTTGAACCGCAAGCTGAACCTGAAGACGTCCCAGTATGTCACATAAAAAAATTAGTTTTAAAAATAACTCTTGACCTTTTTTAGGTAATAGAGGAACAAGATGAAGATATGGAAGACAATACAAACAGGGAAGAAACAATGGATACTGGTGAAGTTGCAAATGATGAATGATTTTAATGTGTACTTTAATATTTAAGATATTTTTTAAGAGTAAAATAAAAAGCTTTTAATTATAAAATAGTTTTTAATTTATTTTTAATCTTACATTATTTAGCGATTTCATAACATAACCTTTCACCACTTATGGATTATTTTTCCTCTTGTGTTTCTTCCGATTCATTTGTATTTAAGAGTGAGTTTGTTTCTTCTTTTGAAGTCTTTTTAGAGCTGTCAGTTTCCTCTTCTGATATGGTCTGGTTGTTAACTTTAAAAATATTAATCTTATCTGATTCATTCTTCTGTATATTTGATAAATCATCTAATGCAGGATCTAATTTGATTTGTTTAGAATCCCCCTGGATTTCGGGACTTTCTGAATGTGAACTACTGCATTCACCTAATGATACAGGTTCTTCATCTTTATTTGAAGTACTGCCCTCTCCATCATCTGAGTTATCTTCTTCTGACGAGTCAAAATCTTCTAAATCACTGTCTACCCTGCAGAAAACATTTATAAATGTTCTATAAGCTGTCACTGTAAAACAGTGTACAGTTGGCTTGGAAATGACGACCCATGACATTTCCCATACAAAATTACAGCAATTTTCATTTCCAAGCCATCCCTGATTCTGTTTTTTTTTTCAGTTATATGGTATAACATACATACAGCATGATCGAAAAAAAAAATGTGTCAGCGATGGCTATGCAATGAAGATCGCTGTCATTTTATATGTAAAATTATACAGTGAATGTCATTGATACAGTCATCTATGTTCATTTCCGAGCCAACTAGACGCCGTTTTTTTTCGATCATACAGTACATACATACTCAAAAGGACTTACCATAGTTTCTTTTTTTTCTTAGGAATCTTTTCAGGTTTATCGTCAGCTTTCCTTTTACATGATGCTTCCATACCTTTTGACACCGCATCTTCCACCATCTCTGGTAAAGCTGACCTTTCTTTGTCATATTCTGTGTCCTTAAATTCATGTTTGGGTTGTTCACATAACTTTTCTAATTTCTTTTTCTTTCTTTCTTTAGCTTCTTTTTCTCTTTCTGCTTGCTGTGCTACCCACTTCTTTAATCTATAAACAAAGTATATTATATTACATTTCTAATATGTATAAATAAACATTAAAAATACCTTTGTTCTTCATTTATGTCTCGTAATCTTCTACCACTCAGGTCTCTACAAGCTTCCCTGTTTGTAGTTTTTTCAATTTGTGCCCCAATTGCTCTTAACATCGAACCAAAACCACCTTTTCCACCCAGAGTAGTAGGGATAAAATGTACTTGACCGGAAATAAGATCATCTTCATTATTTAATAATTTTCCATTAGAAATCAAGTAAAAATCTTCGTGTTTTAAACCCTGAAAACAAAATTGTAGTGAGAATATTGTTTCTTAAGATTTTACCTTGAGTTATCTTACCAATTGAAATGATATTATACTTCGTAATTCTCTGGAACTTGCACAATGATCTGTGCGAATTACTTGTTGTTTGCCAATTAAAACTTCCATTGTAAGAAAAATTAAACGAATTAAAACGTTAAAATATTAACGTTCAAACAATCTCTTGCCAACTCTTGCCTTATTTTCACAGGTTATTTTCGTTTTGTTTATCAAAAAATGTCAAAAGATTTAACATTTCACACAAGATGACAGTCACACAATGACGGATACAGGCAACCGAACATACAGTATTAACTAAATTTTTAGATAAACCAAGAGAGTATGCAACCAAATGTACAATACAAAATGAAGGATTTTTTTTTAATATACAGTTTATTTTACAGCTAAAATTTTAAATAAATCCCTATGACCTATGAAAAGACAATAACTTGTCAATTTTCAAGACATATTCTCGTTCAGATTGATCTTCATTTCGCTCTTTTTGATGTCGGGATTCTTGAAATCCCCCGGTACCGTTTCAGTTTCGCGGTACTCCCCCGCAACCACCCCTGATTGTCCCGCCGTTTGGCCGTGAGGAGCCGAGTGAACTAGCCTTCCGATCAGCGAGGACGGTCTATCCTTCCTTATTCTTAGCCATTCGTGTTGCATTACGCGATCCAGCGTCAAACGCAACGTCAAATCCGGTTCCAGAAGGTGCCTTACCAGAGATTTCGCGCTAGAGGACAAAGTTTCCCTCACGCGCGACCTAAACACCCAATTTTTTGTCATCTGATCTTTTAGCAGCTTCCTCAAGTTTGAATCGTCGAAGGGCATGGAAGCGTTGAGCATTATAAACAGTATAATCCCCAGGGACCAAACATCTGACAGTTTAGGGTTGTATGGAGTCCCATTGACTACTTCTGGTGCGGCGTAAGCTGCGGAACCACAGTATGTTTGGCTGAGAATTCTTCTGTTGTCAGAGTCGACGCAGAATCGCGCAAAACCAAAGTCAGCGAGTTTTACGTTGAATTTTCTGCTGAGGAGGATATTTTCGCACTTCAAGTCTCTGTGGGCGATGTTTTTGCCGTGGAGATAGTGTAGTCCGCTGGCCATTTGACGGAACCATATTTTTGCTTGTTGCTCGGGTACTACCCCGTTTCGCTTTATGAAGTCTAGTAAATCACCGTTATCGGCATATCTAAAAAAAACATAAATAAAGAATTCATAATTTTGTTGTTCACTTGTAGTAGGTACAATATACAGGGTACAAATAAACAAATGCGGAAACATTCAAAAAGGTCTTCCAGATTAGACACCTCCCCTGAAAATATTATTTTTAACCATTTTACAAGATAAAATTACAAAAACTGTTAACCCTGCGCTCAGGTTTATAGTCCATACACTTCGCTTTTTTGCACGGTTTTAACGTGTAGGACTGTTGACTGTTCAGTTAAAAACGTCAGTGTATGTGATTGTTCGGTCCAAAACTTCCCGGTCGTTCAGTATCTGTCTGCGCCAGATATTTTAATCGTATAGTTCAACCCGTTTGTTCCTAACCGATAGTGTATATTGACACAGAAAAGGGCAAACATCCGGTATATTGAAATTTGCGTAAATATACCTGATGCATTCGGTATACCGGGTGCGTCTCAAAAGTGGCTCACCACTATAACTTTTTTATTTTATCAGATAAAAAAACGAGATTTGGTATGTTAGTATATGGCATAAATTGGGATTGATTGACATATTCAGTTGTTTTCTGTCACTTCCTATTTCACCGGAAATGACTACAACTTTTGATTTTTAAATGACACCCTCGGTATTTTTTTACTTTATGCGATAGAAAATGACATTCTAAATAAAATGCGAATATCATATGTCAACTTTTCAAAGTTGTTCTTAAAACAAAATTGAGTTTTAAATTTTAATCTAGAGTGCAATGGCTGTGTTAAAAACACTAATTTTTAATCAAGGAAAAATTGATTTAATCGTCTATTGTTATTCGTGTCTTCTCTTTGGCCGGTTAAAAAGATGCCCAAATCGTATTTTTATTCATATCTCAATTTATTTCAAATGGAACGAGGGTGGCTCATTAGTATATTTAAAAAAAGCATTTCTTTACGAATAATTTGATACCACACACTTGGTATTTCGAGTCAAAGTGACAGAAAACAATTGAATACGTCAATCAATTCTAATTTACGTCATATACTAATATACCAAATTTCGATTTTTTATCTGAAAAAATAAAAAAAAGGTATAGGGGGGAGCCACTTTTGAGACGCACCCGGTATACCAATGGGTAAATACAGGTAAATGTGACATATACTGAATGATCGAAAAAAAAACGGCGTCCAGTTGGCTTGGGAATGACGATTATTGTTGACATTCCCCATATACTTTTACATATTATAAAATGACAGCGATCTTCATTTCATAGCCATCGCTGACGCCGTTTTTTTATCATACGGTACTTTAAAAGAGTATGATTATTTTATTTAATTTTATTTAACCAGATAATTTTGCTTTCCGTCGTGTTTTCTTAACAAACTGCACAGAAAATGAGCTTGTTGGACACACAAATCTAGTTGGCCAATGAGTGAAAACCGCTATGGAACTCAGGTTTCAGAAACCAGGGGGTTAGGACAAATATGTGTGTAGCATCTTTAGTTTCATAAAAAAGTTGTAGGTACAGTAATGTGAAAACCGCATCTTTCTATCCCTGTTCATAAACGAGAAACTCCATAAAAAACGAAAATGGGACACCCTATAATACAACGGCGTACCCAAAAAATTTGGCTTGAGGTGAAAACCGGTTTTGTATGTGGCTAATCAAATTGTTTTTTAGTAGAATGACTATTTATGTATGTTAGATTCAACAATTTTTAAAGAAAATTTTCTAGCACAAAACGGTCAAGTCAAGAACTTTTCTCTCCACATTTTTCCTATACCGGGTGGCTCGCTACCGGGTGCGTCTCAAAAGTGGCTATACCCCTATAACTTTTTTATTTTTTCAGTTAAAAAACGAGATTTGGTATGTAACTATATGACATAAATTAGGATTGATTGACGTATTTAATTGTTTTCGGTCACTTCCTGTTTCGCCGGAAATGACTACAACGTTTGATTTTTAAATGGCACCCTCGGTATTTTCTTACTTTATTCGATAGAAAATGACACTCTGAATAGAATGACATATCATATGTCAACTTTTGAGATTTTCGAATATGGTTTATTTGAAATTGTAACACGTGGTTCATAACGACAATTTGAATCAAAACACCAAGTGTGTGGTATCAAATTATTCGTAAAAAAATGCTTTTTCCTTGTTACATATAATAATAGATGTCGGGCATATTCAAACTTGAAGTCTTTCAAAACCACACAAATAATTCTAATTTAAAATGTTTTACTTTCGTTTTGAAGCATCCTGTATGCTTCTCTAGCATGTGAAATCTAAATTAACGTAGTCCTGCCTTCGAAAGACTATCTAAACTAATACCCTTAAATCAGTTAATTAACTGTTGTTTAGATTTGAAAATTCAAGTGCCTGTTTTAACTTCATTGTATTTAGTATTAAGAATAGCTACTTTATAGAGCTTGGCTACTATATGCTTAGCTAAGCGTACTAAACGCATGTTAGCAGTTTTAAGGATGCTCACCTCATGAAAATAAACACCCTAGGTCCCCTCTGCAAAATGCTGTGCACCTGGATGATGTGCGGATTCTCGATCTTCGTCAGTATTTCCAACTCTCTCGGAAAAAACTTCTCCAAGAAATCTTTGGGCGCCTTCTCTTTGTCGAATATCTTGCAGGCCAGGCGCATCTTCTTCGGTCCAGTGTTGTCGACATAGTCGGCCAGGTGCACAGTGGCGTACGAGCCCTGACCAATCTTCTTCCCGATTAGGTAGCCCCTCTGTTCTAATGCGTTCACTTCGGAATTTCTCGGGCTCAATCGAGCAGCCATGTGAATAAATAAACGATTCCTCCTTATTTAGCGCTTCTAACTTTTAATTTGCTCGTATTACCCATTCAGATAACGTTGTGTTAATGCCCCCGGGTTTTCTTTAACATGGAATTTTCTTTAGTTTTGTACCCAGTTTACCATATTGACTTTGTCGTACGAAAATTTGGTTTCGGTTTGGCATACGATTTGACAGGAGGATATGTCTCAACCCGTAACGTCAATTCCCGACGTATTTTTATTGTTACACGGTAAAAGGGCCAATCTTTGACGGTTTCTACTATCTTTATGGCTAATTACCTTTTTTTTAATAATACAGGGTTATGCACCCCATTCGACACGGAGTATTGACTCAAACGATTAGATTTTTACAATTTGTATGTTTTGGGTTCGTTGAAAGGTTGGATTCTCACCAAATCGGAGCGACCATAATCGTCCTGATCCAGATCGATTCGATTTTGGTCGTTCCGACCGAAATCGATTGAATGTGTTCATCGGATTGCATCGGGACGATTATGGTCAGATTTATTTTATAGTGGAGATACCTAGTCTCCTCCAAGATGTCGTCAAGTGAAGACGATGTTGTTGTAGCACTCGCGTATATAAGACGAGGATGCCGCCGTCGTCGCCGGTTTTGGGTACATCCATAGCGGAAAATGAAAAAAGAGGTGCTTTCATTTGCGCTCGTGAATTGGCACACAACAAGTTGACAAATATGTGTGTAGACTATATTTGCGCTCGTGAATTGGCATACAAGAAATTCAAAGCTATGTACCGCATGTCGAAAGACAGCTTTAACCTCCTATGTAACATATGGTGCGGGCGTATATTTCCAAATGAGATATAAATTATAGGAAATGTGTGTCAGTGGAAGAAAGCGTTCCCATAACATTAAGGTATGTATATATTTCTTAGTTAATAAGACATTCAATACGTGAACGGAAAATTTGAAGGTATATCCGAGCTAGTATGGAATCAGAGGTACTAGATAGAACAACAAAAAATAAGATAGAAACAGTTAGTTTATTTTAAAATCGACGATATACCAGGATACCATAATACCAAATGCATTAATGTCTAATAATTAAGATATTAATAAAAGTGAACAAGAAACGATGCCTCAGTGAAGTCATGGTAGGCTTTGGAAAAGAGTTGCTTTTGACATAATAGTATAAACGTCAAATTGTTATTAGATCAACATTTTGATAGTCTTAGCAGCGTTTTTTATCTTTTAATTGGTTTTTCAAAATGCCTTTATTATTTGAAGTAGTTGAAGTTTTTGGCATTTTGAAAAAGCAATCAAAAGATAAAAAACGCTGCTAAAACCAGGGGGGTGACAGTAAACCGGAAAATTGGAAACAGTTGTGGCGCGGTTCTACCCAGGCAGAAAGCATGGCCTTCTAGACTGTCCTTGACAAAAATCTGAATATTTCTATATGATTTCTGTCAATTTCTGCTACGGAACATTTTTATGCACGTCGGCGTCCTGTTCTTTTGTCTTTTGTCTGTGTGTCAGCGTCAGCTCCCGAGGCCTCTGGCAAGGTCGGGCGCCATTTTAATTTTTGCATTTGATTGGAAGTTTGTTTCTGATATTTCGGCTGAAATTTATAAGTACAAAGATGTTTTTTGATATAAAGTTCCTTGTTAACACTTTAATAAAGTATATATGATATTAATTACATGAAGAAAATGATGAAATCGACGTTTCGGCGTGTAGCAGGTATGGGCCATATTATAGGTAAAAATAGGTAATATATTAACTGTTTTTATATTTTTTTAGCTTTAAACCCAAGGATCTTGGGATATTCTTTCAAGGATTTTTCCGTATCTCTACTTTAAAGACTGATCGGTGATTTTGAGCAATTGAAAGCAAGTTATACAAGGTAAATTATGATTATTGAACTATTATTAGCCTACGTTAAATTTCTACAAGATGAACAGAAATGCGTAATTACATATCACATAGGTACCTATTATGTATTTTCATAGCAATAATGCTATAAATCTATGTATGTAGATTATTTTTAAAATACAAATGAGGTATTAGATGTATATGTATCATATTTTTTATTCATTTTATTTTCATTCAAGTCCTGTTTGATTTAATTCACAAAAGTCTTATGTAGGTACCTATATTTATATTTTTTACATATTTTTTTTGATTCCAGGTTTTGTGTGGGTTCCGGTTGCCTTTTTCCTGCTTCCAGTTATTTATCCGTGAAGCTGTGAAAACATTTATTTATCTTCAAGTTTCTGTAAGTCAATGCACTGTTACTTTACTAATTCGCTTTAACACAGCATCTCTGATATTATTTAAATATTTAATATTGATACAGTAGTTTATTGGTTTATAGCTCTTTAATTGTGTTGATTTGCATATTTACATTGTTCTAAATTCCAAATAAATATTTTTGAGTAATTTTGTTGTATTATTTACTACTAGAAAGAGTAAAAAGTATATTAACCCTCATTTAAACCTCCCGAACAGCCCGCCATTAAAAACCGGAAACGGAAATAAATTTCATAAAATTGAAATTGTCATGTCTATGTCATGTCAAATGTCCCAGCCGCCATATCTGAAAATTAGTTACCCAGGCAGCCACGCTGTTTCCATAATTTAACATTGACTTGACACTTCTTCTTGTATTTATTATTTTATGGCTAAAACTATCAAAATGTTGATCTAATAACAATTTGACGTTAATACTACTACGTCATCAAAATCAACTTTTTTCCACAGCCCATACCATCATCGTTTATTATTAAATATTATTAATATCTTTTAATTATTAGATATTAATACATCTGGTATTATGGTATCCTGGTATTTCGTCGATTTTAAAATAAAATAACTGTTTCTATCTTATTTTTTTGTAAGAATGGGCATAATCAAGAGGGCTACTGATACCATGTTGTAAAAATAAGGTAATTAAGAGCTTATTTTTTGGTATTTATTATAATTTTGCTAATATCTTCGGTTTTAACGAAGATATCACGATGCGGTTTTCGCTGACTTTTTAAGCTTTTACTACTCTTTACTATCAGCTAAAATTACATATACTATCGTATTTTTTTTGAAAAAAACGCGCTTTGTTTGTTAAATTGTAAGAAAGCGCCCCCTAGCGTCTACGTTCAAAACCATATTATTATCACTTTTATGGTATAATATATAGAGTAAGAAACGCTCTTTTAAACGAACCCTCGTTTGTTGGATGCTGATCATCCAGAGAGTCCGGAGTTATTAACATTTAAATAAAGACAGATCTAAGAATAGGGGAAAATAGTTCTAACAAAAAAAATCCAAAATTAACTGAATTATGAAACTATTATGTATAGTACCCATTATATAGGCAAATTTCTGTAAAAAAATATTTTCTTATTTTGCATAGCAGTCGCGCCGTTTTATAAACTTGAAAATAATTTCCAGCAATTTCTCATACCCCCTTTAATTATAAATATTTTTTTCCGTAGGCCCTACGGCTAATATTTTCCGAGATACAGCTGAGAGCTATTCTTAGTGGGACAAAATTTGATTAAGGTTTATCAAACTTAATATTACCGTTTTTGAAATATTCACGATTTTGTGAAAATGCAATAACAATTTTAATGTTTTATTTCTCTATGCGCATTTAAGTTTTTAAAACCAAATATTGTACCTACTGAAGTTTTCTAAATTTTATGTTGCAATAATAAAAATAATACTGCCTTATACAAACGGTCTAAAGATTTATTTTAAATAATTACTAGCTTTAAACAGCATTAACAACAATAACTTCTTTAATTTGAATGGAACACCCTGTACAGGGTGGGTCCAATTCGACGCTTTTAAATGGAAAAACCCTTTTCTATAGGAGATAGATAAAAACTAATATCGGTGTCTGCAGCTCAATTTTTGTCAAAAACATGATGGTGAAACCCGCATATCGATATCTGTTACCGTTTCGGAGTTATGGAGTGTTTTTCAAAAATATGCATTTTTAACAAATCGCTGTAACTTTTTTGCTATGGAAAATTTTGTATTTTTATGGAAACATTTCCAAAACACCTTTTTACGTAGAATTTAATGATTTAAGTATAATTTTTTTAAAATTAATAATTTAAGAATTATCAACAGAACATTTGATTTTTTATATAGGACACCCTGTATATTTTTAATTTATTGAAAAGAATTTAAAATTACCTTTCCAAAAATATAACACACTTGATATTTTGCTTTAATCCCCTTCGAAATACAGAATTTTTAAAAGTTCGCCACTTTTAACATCGAGGGCGTCATCTTGTAGCCCGTCCCCTACTATGCCGAAATCGATTCACATTTTTCTTCAATATTAAATTGTTAGTCCTACCCTGATGAAGATGTAAATGAAACGTCGTATCAAGTGTTAGGTTAATTCAGAATACCACTTCATAATTTCATGGAGAGTTAGGCACAAACATTTTCATTTCCTCAGCATGTATTACTAGATGTAAAATTCTAATTTGATGCTCGGCAACTTTCATTGTATGATTTATTATTTAGAATGGTCATCTCCGTGTGACCAACGTTTGAATGCCACTTTAATGCTGATAAACACCAATATTGGTAAATATCACCATTCTTCATCTTTAGATTTCTGCCATACTACTTGACCGAATTGAACGAATTAATACTCATTATACGCAAAATTTAATGGTCTTTAATTTTTGTAATAACGAAATATTGGCTAGAACGTAACGTTTCGGAACTATAGGCTAAAATCTGAAAAAAATCCAAGAATTGTACCATCTTTTAGTCCTCCTGAGTCGAGCGGCGGTCGAGCAACCGTGCAAAACTAGGATAATTATCTTTCATGTCAACTGAACAAATCAAAACCATAATTAGTTTTCCATCACTTTTTTCCAAGTGAATCCTATAATAGATCTTATTTGACTGGTCTAATGGTATAATATAGAATGTTTAGGGGAGGGGGCCGTTTAATCAACGCGACCTTACAGATTTATGGTGTGTTCCCCCTTCTTGAGTTATAACGAGTTATAACTAGCCAGACCGAGGGCTTTGACAAAAGCCAGTATCTGAGACGGCTCCACAGAGGTACAGTTGACGGAGGCGAGTTCTCCGACATCAGCCGTACCAAAGAGTTTAAGGCTCGAACGGTTTTGTCGCCTCGGTGCACTCAGTGATGAAGTGTTCTGGTGTTTCCTCATTTCCCCCCCAGAATCTGCATTCGCTGTGGTTTCTCAGCTT